TATTTATTAAAGTATTTCTTAGGAAAAAAATTCTAGTATAGCAGAATATAAGAAATAAGGAGAAAAAGCTTCCCAAAACTCTAAGTATGGCTTGTTCTGTCAACTAATATTCATGGTAAAGTCCTATTTCAAGGAAATTTTCTCATAAAATGTATTTTGGAGACTCAATCCACTCAGAATATTTCATTATTTGTAATATTTCACTTAAATAGCAAGAAATTTTAACACATGAGAGTACTCACAAGGTCAAAGGTGCATGTACAGCTTCCCATATTAGGTGTAATACCACCATTGATTTTCCCCTATTAGTCTTTGTTAAATTTGCACTTTTCAAAAAATTGTGCAGAATTTATCTTTGTTTCAAATAAAGAAATACTTGGCATGAGTAAAGATTTATCCTGTCCAGTACTATAGAAAAAATTTCACATAACATTTCATTGCATATAAGAAAATAATTATCACTGGAAGTTAACCAATCAAATTTTCCCCCTTTTTTAACCTGTGTACAAGCTTTAGTAACCATGTAACCTCAAGTTTCCAAAATATTCTATAGAAACCCCAAATAAAGAAATAATGGTGCTTTGAAATACCCAAGATATATGTTTATGACTCAGAAATGTTTTACTGCAATGAAGTGTAGGATCAATTACCTACAACTGTCAAATTCAAGGGAATATTTAACTCGAATAATTCAAGCCCTTACCGCCTCCGATTCTCTGCACCTTTCGAGGGCTTGAATTCTTCATGATCATTGGACGCGTCACCAGCCCTGTCGCTGAGAGGGCCCAATCAAATCGCAGGTCATTATAATTATGCATGATTGTGCGCAGAACACACTTCCGTAGTTTCCGGTTATTGAATTCAAAACAAAAACATGGACATCTTTGAAGCTTTACAAGACCTAGAAGCCAAATATGACTTTATATTTAAAGAAAAACAAAAGCTCGCTATTACATCTATATTTGACTGTCAGGATACCTTTGTAGTTCTGCCAACTGGTTACGGCAAGTCCAAAATTTATTCACATTTGCCAGAATTGTACGAACTTGTAACCCACGTCAAAGGCACAGTGTTAGTTATATCACCAATTCAAGCCCTTATGATAGACCAGGTTACCAAACTTGAAAACAATGGTGTTAGTGCTACATTCGTTGGAGAAAAGCAAACAGACAAAAGTATTCCGGCACGAATTATTGAGGGTGAATTCTCCATTGTGTTTTCCTCTCCTGAAGCAGTATTGAATAAAGGTCCATGGCGGAGATGTACTACACAAGGTGTATTCCATGAGAATTTGAAGGCAGTTGTTATAGATGAGGCTCACTGTATAACACAATGGTAATTTTTTGATATTAATATATTATGTGTATTGATCTACAGTTTTTTTTTTTATTAAACTATGGAGGCAACAATTTTGTATGTCATAAAATCAATAAGGAGATGTGGCCATGATATATTTGCCAATGAGACAACAATAGCTATCCACCTGAGCTCATATGATATGGATATTAGAAATTATAGACAACCGTACAGCTTTCAACAATTAGAAAATACCCATGCCCTATAGGCAGCCATAAAAGGCCCTCACAAGAAAAATATGTCACCTGAACAATTCAATTGAGAAAACTAATAATGACTAAATTTATAATAAAACAATTATGAAAAACAAATATGGCAGACATGTACTAACAACAACAACATAAAGTTTGTGTTGGGTTTCTGGGTTTAAACACGTTGGTGCCTGGGACACTGGTGTTATAGCACAATATGATTTAACAGATTTAAAATTTATTTTTGAAACTATAAAATTACATTGAAAAAAAGTAATATGTTCAGAAAAAATACAGAGTCAGATGTTGAGACCTTGTCAGACTTTAATAAAAAAATATGTGTACATAAACAATAATTAAAACGCTTTCCAATACATGTAGATTGGTTGTCTTGAAATGGAAAAAAGGAGATGTGTGTATGATTCAATTAATGCAGTAAGAAGAATGTCAGTCTATTTCTAAACATTATATTTTTCTTTTTTTGCTATTTTAGGGGTGGTGAATTTCGCAAGGAGTATAGTCATCTTGGAGAACTTCGATCTGTTGTGCCCAAAAAACAACTTTTGTAACTTTAACAGCAACTGCAACAAGATCAATAAAGAAAGACATTATGAAAACACTTGATATGGACATCAAAAGAACAAGCATTATTTCCGTGATACCAGAAAGACCAAATTTATCATATTATGTGCAAAAAAGTAGTAAGAATTTGGCAGATTTAGACTGGCTAATTAACGATCTACTTAAATTTGAAAAATCCACCAAAAAGACAATCATATATTGCAGAAATATTGTTTCTTGTTCCAATTTGTATGAGTATTTCAGACTATCATTAGATGACAGAAGTGAATCTCTAGATGATAGATTGATAGGAATGTTTCACCGTTCAACTGCTGATATCAATAAAAGTCATGTGCTTGATGAGTTTCAGAAACTTGACAGTTCTCTGCGTGTTGTTTTTGCTACCATTGCGTTTGGAATGGGTATAGACATTCCTGACATTGAGCGTGTCATTCACTGGGGAGGGCCACGAGGTCTAGAGCAATTCTCACAGGAAAGTGGCAGGGCAGGCAGAGATGGTCGCTCAGCCGTATCAGTTATTTACTTCCGTGGATATGACTTGGCTAAGGGAAACTGTTCAGAAGAAGTGCGAGAATTTTGTAAGACTGAAGACTGTTTAAGGAATACTTTGTGTGCATACTTTCAATAAGATACTAGTGGTTATAGCGTTATAAAGCCTGATCCTCCTTGTACATGCTGTAGTAACTGCAAATTAAAGTGTGTCTGTGGATTCTGTAGTGAAAGCCAATTTCTAGGTAGTGAATTAGATAACTTGTCGGTTCTTGATGAAGACTTAAACACTGGTATTAAAAGAGATCTTACTCTTGAACAACGACGATAACTTCGTGAAAACTTATTAGACTACACAGAATGTCTTATTGAAGAAGAAAGTGAACTTTCAAGTGAGTTAGAGGACTTTGCTTTAGACCACATTGTAAAAAATGCACCATATTTGTTATGTGAAGATGATGTCATATCTCTAGGACTTGTTAGCCCCGAGCTTGCTGCAGATATTTTAACACTTATTGATGAAGTCTAAGTACATACAGTGATTTAGGGCCATACTTACATGACTTATGTCAAAATATTGCATGAAAATTGTTGTAGAAATGCAACATACAACATGTACAATGTATTTTCAAAAACTCAACCAAGTTTTAAAAAGAATTTTTTTTATCATGTACATCTACCTGTAGATGTTCAATTTTTAATGCTCAGATACATGTACATGTATGTACAACTGAACATGTGAGATCTCCGACATTAAGAAAAATACTGAGTTGATTAGTCATATTTTAAGTTCAATGTATCATAAACATTTGTCATACATGTCCACATTGTCATGATTATCTGGTTTACTTTTTAAAATAAATAGAAATATTTTACAGTTATTTATTTGCACTGTCTTCTCTCATTGCCGAAATTTGTTTTGTTTTGTGCATGTTTGTTTGATTGATACTAGCAAAATGTCCAATGATATACATACATGCCTATTATTCAAGAGTATTAAGAAGTTGTCAATCAGTCCAGACATTACACATGCTACAGTAAGCTTCTACTGAGAACCTGAGATAACAGTTTTTATTTGATGTGTTTCAGAGTTTTTAGTTTTCTATGTTGTATTATGTTGGCTGCTGTTTGTCTTGATGTAATTTTTTATAATTTCTCAATGGCTTTATTAAAATATGATGTAGTATTATTGCCAATGAGAGAACTGTCCTTCAAATTTCAAATGGAGTGGATGAAAGCAACTGTACGACCTTCAACAATAAGAAAAACCCAATAAAAGGTATTTACATGAAAAATATGAAGCAATTCAATTCAAACTTACAGCCTAATTTATAACAATACAATTTACAACAAACAAAATGTAGGCCATGAAGCGATGACAACAACTGAACTTCAGGCTCCTGACTTGAGACAGGCACTTCATGAATTTGGTGGGTTTAAACAGGTTTGATGGCACCAACCTAACCTGGGAGAGTGTTGTTGGTTTTCCACCTTTTGAGTTGATTGTCCCTTTGGCATGTTTCTACTTTCTTTTCCACTAATGAAAGAAGCGGTATGGACTTTGATCATTGTTGTAGGCTGACGGTGACCTATAGTTGTTAATTTCTGTGTCATTTCGTTTCTTTAGGAGAGTTGTCTCATTGGTAATCATACCACATCTTCTTTTTTATATAGTTTCTTAAGTTTCAGTTATAGTACACCAACAAAGGTATGGAGAAAACCAACAGCCTAATTATTGTACAAAACTAGATATATCATTGAGATGGGAGCCATCTCTCTGGGCCCCGCTGTGAATAATGTGTGGTCAAAAATTTGTATCTTTATCATTGGACATGGGGTTGTCAAATGAAACCAAAGTTTTGACCTTGACCTTTGACCTAGGAAGTTGTACATAAATTATGACACACCCTCTGGTGTTGGTTTATATACATATCAAGTATAAATTAAACTTTGAAATCATAATGGTTCTCAAGATATAGAGCGGACACGATCTTTACCATAGGACATGGGGTTGTCAACTAAAACCAGAGCGGACATGATTTGTTACGGACGGACGGATAGACTGATCACTATAGGGCGGCCGCCATTTTGCGGGGCCCTAATAAGCATCAAAACCAACAGTGGAGAATTTAAACCAGCTTTACTCACGAGATCATCAACCATAACACAAAAGAACAACTAGTCTATTCATGCCCTTGATTACTGTATATTCAGAAATTTATGCTATTTTCAATTATTTTAAAAGTAATCACATGATGAAAAATTTCAAATTTAGATTGTAATATTTTTTGTGCAGCTTTCCTGATCGATAATAATTTCTGAATTTACAGTTATTAAAAACAAAAAACCTGAAACTGACAAGAAGTATAAAGAATCAAAGCATTGGAAGTTGTATTGAATTTTTATTTCAGATCTGATTAGATCAAAATAAAAAGAAATATATCATAAATAAAACTAAGCACATACATGTACAAGGTTTTGTATGTGTAATCAATACACATGTATATATCTTGGGAGGCAACTGGTTCAATATTTATATTTAAAAGGATTTTTCTATAATGGAAAGGCCTTTACAAAATTTCTAAAATACAAAAGTTATATATACAAACACAAAGACTATTAAGATAAGATAATAATTTATTAAAGGGTAACCTGTTGATTGCCTCAAATTTAACATTATAAAAAATATAACCATGTAAAGTAACCATTATCCAGTCAAAAAAAAAAGTATTAGATACTAAATCTAAACAAAGAATTCAAATGTATCACTTAATATTAAACATGCCATCGAATTCATGATTTAAATTTCTATTCAAATAATAATTATTTTTTAGAAACAAGCTAAGCATTCCAGAATTCAGTGCCAATGTAACAATTAGATGGGGAAAAAAAATACATTAGTAGCTACAACTTACAACCTATCAGAATTCATCGTAATATTTCCATCTTTTAAGGGGAACATATACATGATATAAATGTTAAGAAAAACAAAAGCAGAACACATCAATATAAACAAGAAGCACACATAAATATAAACAAGCACACATAAATATAAAAAAGAAGCACACATCAATATAAACAAGTAGCACACATCAATACAAACAGACTCAGCACACGTCAATATGTACAAACAGAAACAGCACACATCAATACATCCAGACTCAGCGCACGTCAATATGTACAAACAGAAACAGCACACATCAATATGTTCAAACAAAAGCAGCACACATCAATATATACATAGCACACATCAATACAAACAGATACAGCACACTTAAATATGTACAAAAAAGCTGCACATAAAATAATACAAACAGAAACAGCAAATATGTCAAACTCAAGCAGCTCGCATCAATAGAAACAAGTAGCACACTTCAACTAAAACACAAAAGCAGGACACATCAATACATTAAAAGCACAAAAAACACATATGTACAAACAATAGCAGCACACATCATTATAAACAAGTAGCACACATCAACTTAAACACAAAAGCAGGACACATCAATACATTAAAAGCACTATTAAAATGAATAGAAAATTTGTGTAGCATGTACATGTATTCAAAAGCAAACATATTGTAATAGAACCAGAACAAAATTTTAAATTCAAACCTTTGAATTCATTGCTTTTCCAATAAAATATGAAAAAATAATAAAATATGTACAGTAAAATATGTAGCACCATAATACTATTTATACATCAAAGCACTGAATTTGTAATCAAAGTAAATAAGACCGTAGTCTTTGTGTCTTTGAAAATTCTTCTTTTTTGCTGGTGAGCCAAGAGTTTAATTTTTGTCCATCCAACTTGGTTAGGCAAATTGAGTTCATACAGTTAAATGTGCGGTGACATCTTCCTGGAATGACTTGAAAAAGTTCTTCTGGTTGTAAATGTTTTACAAGAATGTCAATATCTTTCTGGATTGATGGCTTGTTGTTCGAAGGCTTTCCAAAAAATTGGTTTAATCCTGTTGTATAGGAATCAATGATGTCATTGCAGCCTTGGAGACTTCTCCCGCACCTTTCAATTGATGAACCGGTCAGGTTGCCTCTGAGAGAGTTTAAAGCATCTTTTGCCCTCATATTCATAAACTCAAGAGCAAGGTCTCCTGGAACGTTAGCTCCCTTTCCACCATGTATATTGACACTTTGGTTGTTTTTCAGTTGAAAGGCTTGTTTTGGAGGCAGTATTGCCAAAAGCTGGGCATGTAATTTAAAAGCTAGTAGTTTGTATTTAACATGATTGTTTAAAGCGAATTTTAAAATGTCAAATCGCCACATTCTAACTAAACGTTCACCATCATTTTCTCTCGCAGCATCTTCTCTACACCAGTCAAATAGACCATCCCTTAACAAACTGCAGCTGTAATTGTGTTTAAAATCTTCCTTCTTTTCTTCAACCTCAAAGGTGCTTTGGACATGTTGGTCAGTATCATTATCTGGCTGTAGAACACCTTCGAAGTCTTTATAATGACATCGAAACCTTTGCTTTGACCTACATTTCCCATCTACAGCGAAAATTTTCTTGCAGCCAGGATATCCACACACATATCTTCCTTCTTCTCGTGTATTGGTTTCTTTAAGTGTGTCTAAATCAAATTTTTCTGTAGTTATGTACTGGTCTACAATATCTTGGGAAAGTTTTTCCAAGAATTCCTTCTTTTGAGTGTCGCAAGTATGATTAAGGTCTTTAAATTTGTCTAACGAATCAAATCCTAACAACTGCATGGCTCCAAGAATTATATAGCCTCTTGTCACAAATCTTAAGAATTCTCGACAGTCATTTACTGCATCTTTCACCTATAAAGAATAAAAAATATTTAATTTTTTTTTTATGTTGAAATATAAAAATTACATTTTAATTAAAAGTTATACAATATACATCAACTTCATTTGTGCGAAGAGTTGTCTCATTAGCCAGCCATCATACCATATCTTTTTATTTTTATACGTGCATATGACGCTCAACAGAAAAGAATCTTTATGAAGATTACATATATCAAAACCAGTTGTAAACGGTCATGTAACTACTTATGAAATCATGAAACAATCTTTTCTGTATCAATACATTCCCACTTTGGCTGTAATTTTTGCAATGTTGAATAATTTACATTTTTTTTTCATGTTTGTTAATGGTTCACAAAACTTACATTTGTAAATGGAAAGAATATTATGTATATGTACATGTACCTCTGATTTAACACCTCTTCTATCAAACTTGTTTTTCAGTTGGAACTATGTTCCCATTTCACCAGATGATGATCCCTTGAAATGGAGGTTAAATGTATCCTGAAAATAATAATAAATATTTAGAACAAGTAAATTTATTTGTTACATGTATACATAATTGTTTATGCATTGCCTGAAAAAGAACAAATCAATTCATATGACACATGTACATGTACAAATGTATGAATAATAATGATGCAGTGTACTATGGACACTCTACTATCTTGAAAACTGACATTCTATTGTTGTTGGTTTTTTGTCAATTGGTTGACAAACTTGGGGTCTCTCCCGATTCCTGTAGTTTTTACATGAGACAAAACAAGATGTAAGCTTTGATACTATATAAATTCAGCCAGTTCAAATACAATTATACAATGGCTTTATGCATGATAAATATACATGAGGTTTAGTTTCAAGTTGTATACATAATACCTTTTTTCTGATTTTGTGCATCGACGAGAAACAACAACCTAGACTTGAGATTTACAAATGATTTAACGTAAATCCACTTGGATAAAATATTATGATGATAAATGGGAGTTAAAAATTTCATATTTATTTCCTTTATTTAGTAGCACTTACAACTGTATAGAGGAACTATATATACCTGTAGTGATATAACATGGCCATGCCAATCTTCGCTTTTCCATATAAAGCCATCTAATCTGTCTTCACATGTCACTGCATCAATTCTGGCTTTCTGTGCAGATTCACCCCTCTCAACACTTAAGGCATCGCCACCTAACAACAATGGCTTTAATTGCTTGTCCCTCTTTGGCACATACTGTTGTAAATGTGTAATTACATCGATCATTTGTTCCGTGATGTTTTCATCCTTCTCAAGAATTCCTAAAGGTATCTGGAGATAAAAGCAACATAATATGTTTAATATGTTAAAAAAAAATTTTAAAAACCACAAAGAACTTGTTTGGAATAAAATTTAAATTGATGTAGAACACATTGGCAGTATTTTTTTTCATGTGTTTTTTTTCATACTTTTTTTTATTTTAACAATTTTCACTGTTAATATTAGATCTTTTTTCTTCAGCAATATTTCTCAATTTTATTTAATGCCTTTTCTAATTGTATGAACATGATCATTATTTAAATAAAACACCAAAAGGAATATATATAGCAAATTATTAATTATATTGATGGCAGTGTGAGATTGTTATACAAGGTTACATGCAAAATGTTACGATTATTAAAAACTTACAACTGTGCTCTTCTTTTCAGCCTGTTGTGAAAACTCATGTAAGATGTGGTACTGCACAACTTGTCTGTACACAGATAGTCCTGGGATGTTGTCCACTAAAGCTCTTTGTATCAAAACTTTGAAATCTTCATTCAGTTGGTGTATGTCATTGTCACTTGGAATGAACAAGTCATTAGATAATGATAGAATGTCAGCTTGAGGGTGAATCTCATCTAACGGGTCAGTTGGTGTTGCTCTATCATTAACTGCCATTGAGTGGACCAAGTTGTGAACTTTGTTGCTGGTATCTCCAGTCTTGTGTCTAGTCTTTTGGTTCATATTCAAATTGTCCATAATAATTTGGAAAGAACCGGTTTCCTGAATTGCAGCTGACGACTTAGTTGTAAATGGAGAATCTTCTTCACATGGTACTGATGGTTGCATTGGTGTGTAATAAGTTGTGTGGTTTCCTATGCTACTTAAAGGAGTTCTAGGTGGAACAGATGTACCTGTAAAATAAATTCAAATTTGATACACAGAACATATAAGAATTAAATAAGTAGATTACTATTTGGCAAGATATATCTTTACTCAAAATATTAGCACCTCAACGAGACGTCATGAAACAAAAACAAGCAATTCTCTCTTATAAGTCTCAGCATTTCTCAAATTCAGATTTAGAAAAAGGAAAGGCACCAATATAAATGTACACCACACCTAGACCCTCATAACAGAATTACAACACTGACAGCTTTGAAGTTATTTTTGACAGCTATTTCATTATTCTTCTTAAACACTTCAGTGATTCTAGATTAGTGTGAGTGACTCTAAAAAAATAAGGAATCCACACAGAAAAGACACATTACATGTGCTCACCATTATCCACAAAGTCGTACAGCTTTTCCATAGGAGAGTCTGTAGTTGGAACTGTCTCTTTACATGTATCTACTGAGGAAAAATCTGAAGTGGTATCTGTTATAGGTTCTGCTATGTACATTACTGGTGGACATTGGATGAGTAGAATGTTATCATCTGTGGCAATGTTCTCTACATTACATTCATCACTGGTTGCTGCATATGTATGATCACCTAAAAAGCAAAATACTTCAAATTATATCAAGATTTATAAAAATTAAAATGATTTATACATGTATACTGGTATATCCACATCCTTTGACCTTTGTTTGGCAGCCATATCACATCTCCTTACTAACGTACTGTATATAATAATTTTCCTGTATATATATTGTTTACTTTAGTAATGTATCAATAATAGATATCATGGATATAAAAGCATTTTAGCACCTTTATCAGGAGAATCTACACTTTTATTAAATATAGTTGCATGTACATGTACATGTAGGTAAAAATGAACATGCCTTAATTATAATTTACAATAAAATATACCTAATGAAGTGTTCTGATCTATTGTTTTACTGCTGAGTTGTTCTGTCCATCTCTTCACAGGCTCATCAAATTTCTCACATAGCTTATCAATTGTATTCAGTGTGGACTTGTAGGAACTACTAAGTCCTGCTGGTTAAAGGTGGTATAAACCTGAAGAAATAAAATACACCATTGAGATTTGCTGCCCATGTTATGTATTTGGAATAATGTACAGTAAAACTTCAGATGTTGTGCTAAAATGTACATACATTAGCTATAGTAATTGAAATTGTTTTACATTGTCATTTCGGGGCCTTTTATAGCTGACTGTGCGGTATGGGCTTTGCTCATTGTTGATACCGTACGGTGACCTATAGTTGTTAATTTCTGTGTCATTTGGTGACTGGTCTCTTGTGGAGAGTTGTCATTGGCAATCATACCACATCTTCTTTTTTATATGTGAAGAAGATCAATACATGTATGTGCTGAACAGATTTTTTCTTATTATTTATGAAAAACTTTTTGTGTTAAAATTGCTTTGTACATACATACATCTTGTAAATCTAAAAAACACAAAGAAATGTTTTTTTTTTTAATAAAATATAGTGCTGAAAGACCCTCGTGAGAAGACTGAATCTGTATTTAAATGAAGTACTGTACATGATTTATCTTTATATTATTAATTTTTAATTTGCTTACCTTTGTTCTAACATGTCCTCGGAACATTAACACACTGTTTATAGAATGAATAGTGTTCATTTGCTGATTTCTGGTAAACAGAAGGACGGCCATGCTGGTAACAAGTCTGGGTTCATTTTTTTTCTTCTCTACACATATTGTCTGAAGTAAGTCCATTGTCAAAGGACATTTATTTTCTAGTTGCTTGTAAGCTGATTTCCATGAAAACGAAGAGAGATTTGTTGACCTTAATAAAGAGTCTTTGTTCTTGATTACCTCAGTTATTTCCTTATTTATTTTCTTTTTGATCACAATGCCAATTTCTTTCTTAACATCTAACTCAAACATGTGGTTTACAGCTGTTCTGTATTGTTTCATGACTAAGGCACGACATGCCAACTTCTCATGTCCATTTAAAACTGTGTTCCTGGAACTTCCACGATACCCTATGTTCACCTAAAAAAATTAATCTCAACAGTTACTATTATTGCACAAATAAATGTATTGTGTACACATGCATTGTACAACATTATGCAAGTTGATGCATTGTTTATAAAATGAGTACTTATATACATGTATATACTGTATACATGTACATGTAATCCTTTTCTTTCAACTTTTGTATGTTTTAGAAAAAAAAATGTTATTTAGACTAATTACTTTTAATTTAGTTAAACATGTAGTCTTTATACATTTTTACATGTAAAACATTGTAACTACATTTTACCTATGTACCATGTACATGTATAAAAGCTATATGTAGTACCTATAACGTGCCAAGGATCTGAGTCGAAGCCCGTACTGTAACATATAACTACTAACATTCATGACATATCATTAAGTCTTGGATTAAGAGCTGTATAATTGGCAATCATACTTAATCTCGTTTATCAGGTTTATATAAAAATTATATATAATTTGTGTCAAATTAACCCAATTACTGTATGCATTATTACGCCATATATATATACACACAATTACTCTAAATACAAATGTATCAGCAGAACAATGTTCAATCTGCAAATTTTTGTTCTTCCCTATATACAATAACATACATGTACATATCAAGGATTTGTTTAGTAAATTATACAAATCCTTGTACATATATATTGTAATTTTTCATTGGGTTTCTTTTTTATGATTTAATCAAGGATTTGTATAGTACTATCCTTGATTTAATACTTCTACATTTTAATTCCAGCTGGCAATTCAGTGCAAACATGATCATATTTACTGATTATTTATTTCCATTTCTCTCAGGTTTAAAAAGATTTTTAATAAAATAAACTTTTGTACATGTATGTTAATAATCTGTAAACTTTTTTCATGTATGGCTAAATCATAATTCAGATACAAATGCATACCTTTACTTTAGGCCCTGGAGACTGTGTTGATTTCTTGTCAGAGAAGCAGAGACGTCGTCTATTATTCTTTGGTGTTTTTGTTGATGAATTTGATGAATTTGATACATTTTTATCTTGTTTCTTAGCTCTAGGAGTGCATCCAGACTTGGTGGGAGTAAGGCTACTTCGGTTTCTTTTCAGTTCACTGCCACGGTCACTTGGAATAGAACGATATTCAATCTGTATAGACAAGTTCTTAAAGTCATTCGAGGCAGAATCCGTTAAAGATGTTTTTGACTGATCGTATTTCTTACTGTTTGTTGAGACTGATTTCACAGAATTGTAACATTTTGCACATATATACACATCTTCATTCTTGTCGAGAAATTTTTTCAACAGATCAAATTCAAGGCTGTAAGTTTTGGCTATTATGTCTATAAAATCCACATCACTGATGTTAGAAACCTTTCTTCTTCTTTCATTTTTCAAATTCTTGTCAAACACGTGCGAACAATGTAAACAAACACTACTTTCCCACTCCATTGCACATCTTTTGTTGTGGGATTACTATGCTCCTCCTTCTTTTTGGCGCCATTGTGATGTTAAAATAATACCATAATGCAACGCGTCACAATTTTCCGGTCTGACGCGTTTTTATCGTGTATGCATTCAGGCGTTAATGTAGTGATCGATAGGGAGCGTAATATAACGACTGGATTATTCGGGTAAGGGAATATTTTTTTTCGACCTATTTTCGTATGCAACCGGATGTGACGTATTATGATTTGGTGGTATTACACCTAAAAGCAGACCGGACGTGGCAGGGTATTTATACATCCCTCTTCCCTAACAACAACAAAAAAAAAAAGACACACTAAGCACAGATCTGAGAGAACTCGCAGTTACTGACAGCTAGTTCAAAGCCAATAACAACTTATAAAAAAAGCATGTATCTAAGACTTAAATATCAATCAGTACACATCCGACATCCAATGGATTTAGTGTAAAGACGTCATTAACAGTCGGGGAAAACATGACCTTGTGCAATGCCAAAATAAAAGTATAGACAGACTGTAGTGCCGTTAAAGTGAATATGTATATAACAAACCTATTAAGTATGATTTTGATTTACTGATAACAAAATCAATGTTTATACCAATAAAACAGTATTCAAATATCTAATTACAGTGTTGAATTAGTAACCTTTTAGAAAAAGTTTATTTAAAGGATTGATAAGTTTACCCGGATCGTATAGAATTGTCCGGGTTCGGTAAACAGCATCACCGTAAAATTAGGGATGTGCTTTTCCGTCTGAAATAAGTTTTTTACAGGTACTACCAATACTTGCAAACAAATCTTTTTATCTATGGGAGAATTTAGTAACGGTTTTACGTAATTTGTTGTTACGAAATCCCTGACTTAATAATTTACCAGTAATAGATTGATTACGCCTATTGAAATCCAAAACGTCACTACAGACAGGAGCATACCGAACGAGTTTGGATATATAAACACCGTAAGATGATGCCAGAGGAACATCACCGTCCAAAATAGGAAAATTAACAATAGGGAAAGAAAAGGCATCCCTTTTGTCGTAAATGTTTGTGTTGAGTTTCTGGTGTAAAACTGAAATATCTAAATCTAGGTAAGGACACTTATAGCTGTTAATATTTGATTTATTTAAAGTAAGTTGCTGTGGGTAAATGTCGGCAGTATATTTAGAGAATTCTTGATTATTTAACGAAAAAATATCATCAAGATAACGGTAAGTGTTGTTAAATTTATCAATAAAATGGAATTTAGACGAGTCCCTACTAAGTTTGGCCATAAACTGTGATTCAGAACAGTACAGGAACAAGTCTGCTACTAAAGAGGCAGAATTTGATGCCTATTGGAATACCTACAATATGCCGATAAACTTTTTTTTATTTCCGAAACGTACATAAATGTTGTCAAGGAGAAAATGTATGACTGTAATAATCTCATGACACCTCCAGTAAGTATATCTAGCATATTTACCTTTCTCGTTTGAGAAAAAGGCTTTATATGAGTTACAGCAAATACATTTGCAATTATATGTATCGAACGATCATTTAATTAAATCGGAGAACTTTTGTTTGATAAGATTGTGAGGAAATGTAGTGTAAAGAGGGGAAAAATCAAAACTGTCAACCGAATCAAAAGGACAACCAAAACCACGTAATTTATCTAAAACACCCAAAGATTGTTTACACTCCAAAATGGTTAATTCCACTATTTTCATATGTTTTATTACAAAAACTAATGATCAGTTCTTTTATAGTAGTTAAGGAACTCGTTAAAAGCACTGAAATTCTAGTAAAAGAAAACTTACTAGAGGCCCGGATGAAACGATAACTTACGGGTTTTTTGTGTAGTTTAGGTAACCAATACATAGTGGGGACCTTCAAATGTTCTGAAGAGGCCTTAAGCTGAGCTGTGGTTGTGACATGAGTATTTACTATATGACCCTCTGTGGAGCGTACGGCCTTGAATGTTGTTATATGTATAATTTCATTCTTAAGGACTTCCATGTAGTATTTACGTCATACAAACCCCACATTCATGGCTGCTTTGTCGGCCGGTACGAACACAAAACGCTTTGCGAGTACTTTAATTTTGTTTTTAATCCTAGAAATGGGCGTATTACTTATTTTTTTATTTATTTCTAAATTATTTTCGAAATGTGATATGCGAATATCAACAGTATTCAGACATTTTTTCAAATAGGAATCAAGTAAGTTTTTGTCAGATTTTTCCCGTTTACACCATTTTTTACAATAGGATGAAAGACCATCTTTATAATCAAACTATACCTACTATTTTTTTTTCTATTTTAAAGATCCGAAATCACCAAGTTGTTAATATTAACGGCCATCCCTTGCAATTATTAAAAGTAATCATTAATGTACTATTTTTCTTCAGTCTCATATAATTTGTTTACTGAGTTATGGTTAAATTTGCCATAAATTGTATCTTTTTTTTAAAGGAGACATTCTTCCTGATTTGCAGCGTTTTATTTTTATTTTGAGTGAATGATCACTGGAATAAAATTTAACAAAACACAACCTAAGGTTGATTGTATTTAAGCTTGACTTAGATTGATATTTTATTTATTCACTTTTGTTCTGTAAAAAAGTTTAAATAATTATAGGTTTCCCCATCTTTCGGTCGCAAGATCACCTTCAAAATATGTTTTAAAAAAGACTAGTTATTCAAGTCGCAATCAGTAAAAGAAAGGCGACAGATACCAGAGGGACATTCAAACTCATAAGTTGAAAATAAACGGACAAACAACATAGAAAACTAAAAACTGAGCAACACGAACCCCAGCAAAACTGGGAGTGATCTCAGGTGCTCCGGAAGGGTAAGCAGATCTTGCTCCATATGTGGCACCAGTCGTGTTGCTCACGTTAGTACAAACCCGGTAATAAGTCTAATTCGGTAGGTCACATTCTGGAAAAGGGGACGGGATTGTAGTAACGACATTAGAAACATATCCGCTATCATCTACGAAACGGATATTCCATAACGGTCAACCAACTCGTGATGGCGTCCGTAAAACTTACAAAGAGATGGCTTTGTATTTATTTATCTACACGAAAAAATCAGTCCCTCCCCGTGATCGACTCTCTCACTCGCGAAGTCCTGAATTATCAGCGTTGTGAATCTATGAATTTTATTGATGCTCTCTGGGTGAGGGAGCCTGTTAGCTGAAATCTTATCGAGCTAGGTAAATTCAAAGCTAATTCCTAATGATTATTTGACGACTTTCCATTGACTAGGCCTTTTTGGCATTAATGTATCCATCGTAGAGCGCAGCGGAATATAACGATTGAATTATTCGGGTATGGTGTTAAAGTGTTGTTTTTTTTCTTCTATTTTATTGTAAATACATATATAAATGTATCTTCTGTTATTTCAACAATCATGAGATCAAGAGATGGTATTGACAAACTGATGGTTTAAATTGCCAAGCATGTCCTAAGTCAACACTTTGTGAGTGGTTTCTTTTAGGCATATCAAAATGGGTTTGTCCTAAAAAGTATTCGGGAATAATGTATAACTTATCACAACTTCAGACTTTATCTTTGAACTCGATTTATAAAACATTAACATGTGGTGATCGAAACGTGACACGGGGATGAGGACGACGACACTATGACACGACTATCTTTTCTGTCACAGTGGTAAAGTCAATTAACTAAATAATACGGATAATATTTACATGTTTATTCATAAATGTACATTTCTTCAGAATTATTGACAAAGCTACATTTGTATATTCTTGTTAGGATTTTGAATTGCTGGTTTGATGTCTGGTTTTTGTACACTCTATAACTTATTGTATACATATTCATTTTCAACTCAGTTAATTTGTGCAGTTTACCTTGTCTTTGTACACATACATAGATATAAATAGCCCGGTCACTATATGATTTGGCATAAACAAAGAAAATTCCAACTCTATAGAATGTACCATCAAATGCTTCTTAAAGGTTAACAAGTATTGAACATATTTTATGGATCACCCCAAGACTAATGCTTCTTTCGAAAAATAAATTTAACATATAATGATAATTAGAATAATGAAATATAAATATTTTAATTTATCGGGCGTAAAAAATACCATGTATTCACTACTGATCATATGAATGTAAAATACTGATGAATTTGTAGTTAAAGTCAGTTTATATCAAATGAATATGTACAGAACAAACAATTATTTCTATTTCTAATTGACACATGATTTTGTATATATATTCCTGAAAAGTACGTCATACATTTGCATAAAAAAACTAACAATTTTGATATTACTTCGATGTTTAATTAAAAGTTATATTTGTACTGTCGTATGTATATTGTACGTGGTAAAACTATTAAACTATATTTGATTTTGAAGATATGCGTGCATGTCATCAACATAGTGACCCATTTTTTTCGTTGAAAACAAATACCTGAAACATGGACTATGACACAATATACATGTATCTACTTAGTGTAGTACCTATAGCATAGCCTGTTCACAATACGTAAATTAAACTAATCTTTTCCTTTTAACTTTTGACAACTCTCTAGTGTTGACCTATCTCTGTCGGTAACTTCTGTTTTTTCTATCTGATCTGCTAAGTCTTTATATACAGGTTCCTTTTGTAGAGCTTTGAGAAATTCAGTATATCCAATTTCTTCATGTCCGTGTAACAGAATATCCATCAATGATCTGTTCTTTTCCTTTTGAGTTTTACAAGATTCTATCTGTTCACTGTCATCAGGTGAGAAAACAGATTTTGATATAAGGTAATCTACTATGGTAAGGTGATGTATCTCTTGTATTATTTTGCCATAATTCTTCTGAAGACGAACTCTATATAATGGAACAGCCCACTCCAATGATTCTACAAATATTTACAAGTTTATATAACAGAACCATTCATGTTGAAAATCCCAAAAATGTTGTGTTAACTTTCAAGTATGCATTTATGTAGACACTAAACTGATCATCTATCAACCCTTAAAACAATACATTCATTATATACAAGCAATAACACAGAGAATTTTTTAAAAGACATTTTTCTTGAACACTATTTCATTAACTTTTGTTTTAGTAACTTCAATGGTTTCAAAGTAAAGGTTTTAAAACAAGATTGCATGATTGATTATTAATGATTAATTGTGGCGACCAGTTTGTATTGATTTTGGAAAGAACAATCGACCTTCAGAAGGAAAACTGCCAATCGTGGTCATTTACAATAGGAAACGAACGCACCTGCTATGACTGGGTTCAAACAGACAACCTCAGTGTTGACATACTAGTCATCGCTGTACTAATAAGACAATTCGGCCACCGAAGACCTTGCAAAACAATAATATTTGTCCGCAGTACACCATGCCTTGCTAACACTATCACATGTCCATGTGCATTGAACCGTAAAATCGGGGTCAAAACCATAATTTTAAAAAAACTTCATATCATAATGAATATGTGTACTAAGATTTAAGTAGATGTAAGAACGACTGCATTGTAAACTACTTTATACATATTCAAACCTGATGTTGGACAAACTGATGGATGGGCAGACGGAATAAAGTACAAACGCATATACCAGAAAGGATAATGCCCCTCTTCTATCGAAGGCGGGGTATACAGTTACAAAATCTTCCGACGAACACCTCGGACTCGGAGTGATGGCAATACCATGACTTGCCCTTACGATCAGGTGAGCTGAGGATATGTAGGAAATAACGTCATCAACAATCAAACAGAAATCTAACACCACACAATAAGTCATTTACAGATCATATAAAGAAATCCAATACAATTGCCTTGTGTCTATATAACCCAGAAGACATTAATTGCTTTTAGATAATGAAATTGATAATAACTTAATAAAAAGATGATAGATGCAAAGTGATGTCAATCGTTCAATCACACAATATAGCATGAGAATTTCAATTGCAGTATCTTGTGTTATAGTATTATATTACATGTAACTATATATAAATATCTGAATAATTAATTATAAATTAGACTCAATGTAAGTTTCTTATTTGATGATAGGACAAAACCGCACATACAACCATACCTTTATTTTCAGAAAGTGCTGGTGTGGAACTTGAACTCACATCATGTGAATCGTAACTCAGTTTGTTTGCTAGATCTGTGTAACCACTGTTTTGTAATGCATCAACAAAAAATAAAAACGCCTGCTCCTTCCTTGTAATCACTATCTCGAGCAATGCTTTATTCTGATCACCCTGTCGTGGATGGTGTTCAATATAGCGTCTATCATCTGCTGATATCACCAGGTGTGTCATCATTTCATCTAAGATATCGCTTATAACTATATCCTGTATGATTTCATCACGATGATCGTTAATTCTATCTGTAACATTTATTAACTGGTATTTAATTAGATGGAGACATGTCTGTGCATATTGCTATGAGATGTTGAAAGGCAATTATTCAATAGACAGGTTACCACAAATTCATATATATATATATATAACGGGTATTTTCGACAGTAAAACTGGGTTTTACGTAGGACAATTTTTAAGTAAAAAGTGGTTTCTCTACTCTAATGTAAAATAAACAAAACAGTTCATTTTAGTCATTATTTCGATTTAAAATCTTCATAAAATGAAAATTCTGTGAAATGATGTTGTCTTTTTTGGCAATTTAACATTGTCACATCATAGAAATGTTTATGACGTCATACAAAAAACACCGTGCGTTTTAAGGCTTTGTGCACGCTTCAGAATATAACAACATTTGACCAAAAAAAATGTGTAGGTAAAAAATGTGAGTTTTTGTTTATTTTTTTAAGAATTCAAATTGCAATATATTCCGAATGTAGGAATGGCGGCTCCCCTTATTTACAGAGAGGTAAATTGATAATTGTACGCTGGTTGTCTGTTATAAGAACATTAGATACAATATATTGCCTAATAATTTATTTTGTTTCAAGTTCCCTTAACACAAACAATTCTAAGCAGTACACAAGAAATTGTCCATAGGACACTTTTCCCCTCCTGCCCTTTATTTCTATGTTAAGTAAAACATAAAATTGGGTTCAAATCCTAGTTTTGGAAACATTTTAATAGCTCACATCATAGTGAACACATGTACAAAGTTTCAAGTTGAATTGAAGTTGAATTATCGTTAACTACTTTAACCAACAATTTTTACCTGGAAATGAACTGATTTTACACTATCAAAATTTCAAGTTGGGTGAACCATGACATCAGGCTAAAACCTGGACTGGGGCATACCATTTCAAAATGTTCACATCATAATGAACTGGATAACTGAGTTTCCAGTCCATGTGACTACAAATTACAGAATATCATAAGCGGGCATAACAAATTGTTTACTTGGCCTTTACCTGTAATATCTTCCATAGCTGTGAAAGTATTAACATCTATATCTTCTATTATATCCTCCAAGCAATCTGCTCCTCTTTCAATGTTGACTAAAGCCTGTGCAAGCGCCTCGATTGTAGGTTTCAGTTTTTTGTCTTCCCTCCATCCCAGTAATACTTTCTTGTTCTGAGCTGCCAAGTCACTGCAATGATTGTTTTTTATATTTTCTAATTCTGCTACAGATAAACCTAGTTCTGTTCCTAGTTGAAAGAACTTTTGGCCAATTTGTGGAGCTAAGGAATCTATAATTTCATCTGTTGGAATACAGTCTAGGATTTCATCAGGAATATCTAAAAGAAAAAAAATCATTGAGTAAAATTCATTATAAAATCTAACTGCATATAAGAATTGGTGGCACTTTAAGTTTTACATTTTATTTCATGTTGTTTTTGCTTTCGATTTGAAGTTTGGCTGATATAAACATGATGACATGTAATGTGTTTAATATACTTGATATACTTATGTAGTCTAAGTTTTCAAAATTAACCTTGTCCTTGTCAAACACTATATATATTACTCATTCTGTTTTATTTAATTATTATCATTCTGTTAAACAAGATACTTGCTTAAGAACAACTCATCTTGCCTGTTATAAGTTTCACAGTGACTTTCTCTTTTATTTAGCAATCATGTAATGTAATTATTTTTCGTGAGAAGTCCATTTGAGATGAAGGTAGTGAAACTTCGTGGTATTTTGTTGATAAGATTTAAACACATAAGTAGATGTTTGCACTAGATGGTTGTGAGTCTTATAAAATCTAATCTAGATGCAAACTTTGGATATTACTAATCACACGACAACAAAAGTAGTGGCTTGTTCAAGGTTGGCGTAGGGGAAGTTCCCCCTTTGTTTGGGTAAGAGGTAATTTTTTGGCATAACATCGTCCAACATTGTTTTTTGCGTTATATGGTACAAAAATCTAATGTAATGTTCATAGGCAAAGTATAATATGAGGCCTTCAAAAATAATTTTCAAAGAAGTCTTATGATTATTTCACACAAATGTCAGTATTATTGATACTGTGAGTTAATAGCTAAATGTTATTAGATAATACACATGAATGTATGGAGTATATATTGACGAGAAAGCAACGCATTTCTATAATAATATGTAAAGAAAAATACAGACTCTAGAGGCTACAAAGAGCCTATTTTGCTTACCTGGTTATATATATGCCAAATATACTTTTAAAACCTATTTAAACAACTTAGTTTGCAGCATATAGCTTGACTGTTTCCGGGATTTCTCATATTTGAAACAGTTAGAAATAATTGTCTTTGCCATCGGTAATTTGGTTGATTTGAACAGAGTGAACAATGGTCGCATAAAAGTACCTCATACATAATTTTTCACAAGTTTTGTTTGGAGGATCATACATGCACATTGTAGTTTAAGAAAAAAAGAAAATGTAATTCGTTTCTATATAGGCACTTTCATAGAATTATGGCTGCGTATGTGAGCACGCCAATCGGCAGATGATAAATTTCTGTTGTTCTCCAAAGTTTGAAAGATTTTGCAGAACAAAAGTTTTAAAACTGTCAGATTATAATCATTAATCGCATATCACGACATGTTTCTTATGTTTTTCTTTGCCTTATCTCTATGAAATAACCTTTTTATATGTTTCATATCTCTGGCAAGTTTTGTTACAATCTCCTAGTTATGAAAGGCGAAAAAAAGATGTACCTACAAGGTCAAGTTGGAACAAGATAGCATAAATAATAAATTGTGGGGTGTCTACTAATTATAATGCAATTTGTTTTGGTAGTTATATCAAACACGTTTAAGAAAAAAAAAGAAATTTAAAAAACGGTCCGTTTACAATAAATAAGTCAATACTGCTTTCTGCATCTCCTAAAGTTGGTGCCGCTGTTTAGTGGATTTCTGTCTTTAGTTTTTCTTTTTTAGGATTAACTAATTTGAATTATATTTAGTTTTTTTGCCGTTTCTGTGATTTTATTGAAAATTTGTTTTGATAGATCTTTTACCTGAAATTTCTTTGTGAAATTACATGTCATTGACTAGTTTTCAAAGAGGATTGTCCAAAGCGTAAACACTGCAATTTAGGTTTACAATTTTGTGCATTGGATAGATAACGTTTTTTTACATTTAAGACGCGAAACAAGGTTTTGAAGCTTACCTGTCTCTGCTTTTGTGACTCTTCTCACCTGTGAAAGAAAATGTTAGACCATAACATAGTTGAGCGCTCACAGGCATGTTAACATCGCGTTGTTTTTGGTTTGTTTAGGTATACACCTGACTGGTGGTTTTCCCTTTTGCGTTGTATCTAATTCCATTTTCTCTCTCCTATATTAGCTTCTGGGTTTAACTCATTGGTAAAGGCCGTAGGCTGACATGTAAAAGTTCAAAAGCTTTTGATTTGGTCTTTAGTGGATAGTTGTCTAATTGGCAATCATACATGTACCACATCTAAATTGTATATACTGTTTATTTGCAAATATCTTTAATATTTTTTAAACATCTTCGCATATACATGTACATCAGGTGTAAAGTTGAAAAATAATTTTGTGTTTTTGACATTTTTTGTGTCATCATGTTAACCAACAAAAACATGAAAGATACAGAGTGGACTAACATTCAATTTTTTGTTTATCAATGCGGACTCATTATTACGTGTATCTGTGGGATCATAATTGTTGAGGAGTTCTGTGATAAAGGTGAGCCACAAACAAGCTTTTTTTTACAGAATTCTAATTTCCTAATGACATGTATGCGGAATGTTTGAAAACTATCCATAGAAATCGGTACCAACAAAAATAAATTGATAATACACATTATATCAATAATTGATTTCAAACATGATTTCATGTATGATTACTGTTTACCAGTTGAAATGCCGTAATCCTTGGATTAATTGAGAAACAATTATACAGATAAATCCAATGCAATAGCAATTGACCAATTATCCATGTAGCATCAACACATTTTGTTTGATATTTCAGTTTGATGGTATACTACAACCTGACAATTGCAAATAGTTTGTTTTTGGTAAATCACAAATATTTCAAATGACTTTTCAATTTTTTAAATTAAACAAGTCCCTGTCCAATTTAATCAATCACTCAATGTGTGGTTAATTTCAGAATGTACAAAATAGTTCATAATATCTTGCATTTTGACGTTATCATTTAAAGTGAACGAATATTGAAATGCTTTAAATATGTATTTGTACTTACATAACATAGCGTATGCGCTGTTAAATTCATTTTTCCTAGAACATCAGCCAGCACTTTAAACTTTCCTTTTGGATTTTTCCTTTTCCATTCAATCAAAAATAGAAATGTTGCAATTTCTATTTCCTGTGGATGATTATACACAATTTTTTTCCATTTAGGAAGCATTCGTAGATGTGTTGCCAATTCATGCATCTTTTCTGGCTCACATTTAGATGAAAAACGCAGCAACTCTGTATCACTTGGGATCTGATTCAATGCATCTACACTTAGACCTAAAACATAAAGAACAACTATGACTATCAGATTTTCAAATTGATCATTGAATTCACTATCTTCAATTTTATGCAACTGACATATTTCATAAAATTGCACAACCAAATTCTATACACACACTACCACTGAGTTAGTGCAACTACCATTCCAAACAATTACAATCTTTCATTATGTTCCTGCAGCCAGAGCAAGGCTATTGACAGGATCAACATGATACATTGTTATTGCTAGTTTCCAGGTATTAACATTATTTCCTGCATAGTAGCAAATTTCTCCTCTAAGGAGCATCAATCCCAACAAAATATTCCGATAGACTGATTTTTGAACTCATCCAACGAATTGCTGAGGTTGAACTTTGATTATGTCTGGGGTTTTTTTTTTGCTCACACATTGTTGTCAATATAATGGAATTCTATGCAACTGTCATACAAGTAAGAGGTTTAGCTAGCCATAAAACAAGGTTTAATCCATAATCTTCTACACAAGGAATATGAAAATTGTTTTCCATTCGTTTAATGTGTTTGAGTTTTTTATTTTGCCATTTGATAAGGGACTTTCCGTTTTTAATTTACCTTGGAGTTCTTTTTTTGTTGTTGTTATTTTACTTTTCAATATCCCCTGCACTGTATTGATTCATGCAATTATTCAATGCCATAGAAACGAAGGTGACAGCACAAGTAAAGCCGACATTGAGATATTTCAATCTAGCTTCTACTCACATTCATGTCCAGTGTACAAAGTAGTACCGATTTTGTCGACATCGCAAAGTAGACAATGTCGACACAATATTGTACAACATGGTCGATATCGTTTCATACTCTTGTCTACATCGTTGACATTGACGATATCGCGAAGTAGTCAATGTCGACACGATATTGTACCACCTTGTCGATATCGTTTCATACTCCTGTCTACATCGTTTACATTGACGATATCGCGAGGTAGACAATGTTGACACGATATTGTACAACGTTGTCAATATCGTTTCATACTCTTGTCTACATCGTTGACATTGACGATATCGCGAAGTAGACAATGTCGACACGATGTTGTATAACGTTGTCGATATCGTTTCATACTCTTGTCTACATCGTTGACATTGACGATATCGCGAGGTAGACAATGTTGACACGATATTGTACAATGTTGTCGATATCGTTTCATACTCTTGTTTTGGTAAATTGTCATCCGAAGTTGTTAATTAGGCTTTCCACTTTTCTTTGGAAAGACCTATTGTACTTGTTCTGATTATTAGGTCATTCCACTTTTCTGTGGAAAGACCTATTGGTTTTCTTCTGATTATTAGGTCTTTCCACTTTTCTGTGGAAAGACCTATTGTATTTGTTCTGATTATTAGGTCTTTCCACTTTTCTGTGGAAAGACCTATTGTATTTGTTCTGATTATTAGGTCTTTCCACTTTTCTGTGGAAAGACCTATTGTATTTGTTCTGATTATTATTATTATTATTTTTTTTTTCCCGCCAACTTTTGAAATTTTTGTTTCGCAATATGTCGCTTAGATATTTCTCATATTGTATCGTATAGTTTATGCGCTTTTAAATTTCACCCTGCTAAGCCAAACAATTATCTTTGTAAGAGTTATCTCCCTATTCACTGTTTATCAAGTGTGTGCATCTCCTTCGTAACAAAAAAAGATATTGACAAAATTCTTTTTCTAAATTGTTCGTTACATCCTCAGGAATTTTCGGCTAATTTGGATCGAAGCGATTCGATGAAATTTTATAGGAGTTATCTACCTTCATCAAATAAATTTGTCGTTATGTTTTTGCTACTCATAAACTGTAAGCCGTATAAACCTATAGTCTTTTTATTTAAGGTCCTTGGATCCTAACTTCGAAAATGAGGTCAAGGTCAAAGGTCAAGGTCATGTTCTGAATTTTGTCTTTTGCTTGTTTTTGCATTTTCTCCGATATTGTTAATGTTATATATGAAAGAACAAGTGCAAAATGTTTGTTATATTGTGATGAAGATATGATACATTTGGTCTGAGACAATCCAGCGACATCTTATTGGAGTTATTGCCCCTGAAATGTTTTATTCTAAGGTAAATGGATTATTACTTCATATTGGTACATGATAAAGCCATAAGATCTTTTGCAAAATGTTGGGTGATATATGACCTTGAAAAATGTCAACCGGAAGTGACCTTGATTGAACCGGAAGTAGACATTTTTGCACTTATTTCATGTAGAAGTACATAGAACCCATATATTTCTTGAGTGTCATACATTAATCTATCATTTGAGACCGGGAGTGATATTTTATAAACCGGAAGTAGCATATTATCTCATTTTTTACAGGCAAAAGTATATATAAACCATATAAATGGAATCAGTGTAAATAAAGCTATCATATGAGACCGAAAGTGACATTTTCTAAACCGGAAGTAGCCAATTATCTTCCTTTTTACAGGCAAAAGTATATATAAACCATATATTTTTGGAATCAGTGTAAATAAATCTATCATATGAGACCGGAAATGACATTTTCCAAACCGGAAGTAGCCAATGATCTCCCTTTTTACAGGCAAAAGTATATATAAACCATATATTTTTGGAATCAATGTAAAAAAGCTATAATATGAGACCGGAAGTGACATTTTCTATACCGGATGTTAATAATTATCTCCCTTATTTCAGGCAAAAGTCTATAGAAACCATGTTTATTGAATCAGTATGAAGAAACCTATGATTGGACGCCATTAGTAGCTTTGAGTAAACCAGAATTATCTTCTCATTAATTGTTTGGAAAATTGATGTGGAAAGACCTTCAATTGTTCTTTGAACAATTGGTTTTTAATTATTATTATTATTTTTTTTTTTTTTTTTTTTTTCCGCCAACTTTTGAAATTTTTGTTTTGCAATATGTCGCTTAGATATTTCTCATATTGTATCGTATAGTTTATGCGCTTTTAAATTTCACCCTGCTAAGCCGAACAATTATCTTTGTAAGAGTTATCTCCCTATTCACTTTTTATCAAGTGTGTGTATCTCCTTCGTAACAAAAAAAGATATCGACAAAATTCTTTTTCTAAATTGTTTGTTACATCCTCAGGAATTTTTGGCTGATTTGGATGGAAGCGATTCGATGAAATTTTATAGGAGTTTTCTACCTTTATCAAATAAATTTGTCGATATGTTTTTGTTACTCATAAACTGTAAGCCGTATAAACCTATAGTCTTTTTATTTAAGGTCCTTGGATCCTAACTTCGAAAATGAGGTCAAGGTCAAAGGTCAAAGTCATGTTCTGAATTTTGTCTTTTGCTTGTTTTTGCATTTTCTCCGATATTTTTAATGTTATATATTAAAGAACAAGTGCAAAATGTTTGTTATATTGTGATGAAGATATGATACATTTGGTCTGAGACAATCCAGCGACATCTTATTGGAGTTATTGCCCCTGAAATGTTTTATTTTAAGGTATATTGATTATTACTTCATATTCGTACATGATAAAGCCATAAGATCTTTTTCAAAATGTTGAATGACATATGACCTTGAAAAATGTCAACCGGAAGTGACCTTGAGTGAACCGGAAGTAGTCATTTTTGCACTTATTTCATGTAGAAGTACATAGAAACCATATATTTTTTGAATGGTCATACATTAATTTATCATTTGAGACCGGAAGTGATATTTTATCAACCGGAAGTAGTATATTATCTCCCTTTTTACAGGCAAAAGTATATATAAACCATATATTTTTGGAATCAGTGTAAATAAAGCTATCACATGAGACCGAAAGTGACAATTTATAAACCGGAAGTAGCCAATTATCTCCCTTTTTACAGGCAAAAGTATATTTAAACCATATATTTTTGGAATCAGTGTAAATAAATCTATTATATGAGACCGGAAGTGACATTTTCTAAACCGGAAGTAGCCAATTATCTCCCTTTTTACAGGCAAAAGTATATATAAACCATATATTTTTGGAATAAGTGTAAATAAAGCTATCATATGAGACCGGAAGTGACATTTTCTAAACCGGATGTTGACAATTATTTCCCTTATTTCAGGCAAAAGTCTATAGAAACCATGTTTATTGAATCAGTATGAAGAAACCTATGATTGGACGCCAATAGTAGCTTTGAGTAAACAAGAATTATCTTCTCATCAACTATTTAGAAAATTGATGTGGAAAGACCTTCAATTGTTCTTTGAACAATTGGTTTTTAATTAGGTCTTTCCACTTTTCTGTGGAAAGACCTATTGTATTTGTTCTGATTATTATAATTATTATTATTATTTTTTTTTTCCGCCAACTTTTGAAATTTTTGTTTCGCAATATGATGCTTAGATATTTCTCATATTGTATCGTATAGTTTATGCGCTTTTAAATTTCACCCTGCTAAGCCGAACAATTATCTTTGTAAGAGTTATCTCCCTACTCACTGTTTATCAAGTGTGTGCATCTCCTTCGTAACAAAAAAAGATATCGATAAAATTCTTTTTCTAAATTGTTCGTTACATCCTCAAGAATTTTTGGCTAATTTGGATCGAAGCGATTCGATGAAATTTTATAGGAGTTATCTACCTTTATCAAATAAATTTGTCGTTATGTTTTTGTTACTCATAAACTGTAAGCCGTATAAACCTATAGTCTTTTTATTTAAGGTCCTTGGATCCTAACTTCGAAAATGAGGTCAAGGTCAAAGGTCTAGGTCATGTTCTGAATTTTGTCTTTTGCTTGTTTTTGCATTTTCTCCGATATTTTTAATGTTATATATTAAAGAACATCTTATTGGTGTTATTGCCCCAGAAATGTTTTATTTTAAGGTAAATTGATTATTTCTTTATATTGGTACATGATAAAGCCATAAGATCTTTTGCAAAATGTTGGGTGACATATGACCTTCAAAAACATCAACCGGAAGTGACCTTGAGTGAACCGGAAGTAGTCATTTTCATGTATTTCATGTAGAAGTACATAGAAACCATATATTTTTTGAATGTCATACATTAATCTATCATTTGA